ACACCAAGAACACACACTAGTTCTTGGTGGCTAAAAATCGCATTTCAAGCCCTCTTATAGTAAGTAACTACTATCTATGCTTGATATCTGCTTGAAACTTTGGATTTCCACCTAAAAATCGACCCAAAAGACATGAACATGAAGAGTTTACGGCCGTACATCCCGCCTTGGCCGTAAACTCTAGTAAAGGATCAAGGATCGACCTTTAACACCCCTTTTGCCATACAAAAGACTCGGAACACTCCCAAGAGGCTAGAAAGGACTTTGAAGCACCAGAAATCCTACCTTTCACCAAGTGTTTACGGCCGTAAACCCTGGGCCGTAAACCCATGGACCGTAAACACTTGGGCCGCAAACTTGGACCGTAAGCCATGGGCCGTAAACCCCATTGGACCGCAAACCCCTGACCGTACACTCTCGATTACGGCCGCAAACTCCCTATCTTCAATCACGTGTGATCCTAACACTTAGTTTCACGTGATTCCTAATCCCGAAGTGGTTTCCTCCCATAACAGATGATGTTATGCCCTCATCTAATACATATATGTGTTGCCATATGAGAATAGGATCCACTTGCATACGAAACATCAGTTGACACTCAGCATCCACACCGACCTCACACTCGGGTCCTACGTCAAGCAGTGAGTTCATACCCCTACATTTTCTGGTTTTCAAACGTTTTCAGGGGGGAATACAAGCTACACCATAAATGCTTTTGTTAATACAAAGAGCTTTTAACAAGTATAAAACTCATGCAATTCTCATACATTAACCCTTTTGTACTGTGCTGAGCATAAGGGACGTTTTCACTAAAATTGCATAGTTTCCCATAACACTATATTCACTACACTATACATGCAAACTATAATCGGTATAGTTTGAGATTTTCTAAAAACATATCAAGTATGGAAACTTTCACTACTAAACGTATGCACTAATACATAAATGGTTTACAGTTTACATCACTGCATTATCATGGTATTCATAACTGTAACATTCACTACATACGGTATACATACGGATTTTCACTATGATAAAACGCTATGACACTACATGCAAACTAGACTGTACGATACTGTGAGGCGCTACTTTAGTACTGTACCCTTAGGTGTACAGGGATAAATCCTATCATAGTATAACCAGAGTCTCCTGGAGGGAGAGCGTGAGATTTGTGAATAGATCTATTCGGGACTGACAATCCCACACCCGAACTGCTAGCTACAGTTGGGCAGGCATGCCTAGGGTGACAAATGTCATTTAACTCAACGCCTGAAGAACGTTGGAAAGGTCTCTAGTCATATCAAGCATGGTTATACGACTCACATTATGTATAAATCACCTTTAGTTTACAACCTGTCACTCTTCAACAGTTTTATTTTTATTAAACAGAACCGATACACACTACGTATACTGGCTAAAGCCAGGGTTTTCAAACAGAATCGATTATGCAATGGTTTCACATACAAAATACTTATACTTCATGATTAGCTTTAGCTAGTCACATGAGGTAGTATTTTCGCATAACGAACATTCATGGTTTTATACGAAATCGATAACGCTACCTTTTCACTAAAGAAAATATCGGATTTTCTTGGAAACATACAGATATTCATGGTTTATTACAGAACTGATAACACTACATTTTCACTAAGGAAAATATCGGATTTTCTTGAAACTATACAAACATTTCTGCTAACTCATCAACAAGATTTCACTACGAGCTACCGGTTATGAACTCACCAGCTTTATGTTGATATTTTCAAACTGCTTGTATTCTCAGGAAATCAATAGACATGTACTTGCTGGATTTTTGGGAAACTGGAAGCAATAAGAGTTTAAGCTGATATACATACGTACTATTTGATGTAATTCAAACAAGTTTCAGACGATTTCCAAATTGATGTAAACATTTTTATTTAAGTATTCATTGTAATGGTTGCGTTATGATTGTTATTATACATTGGTTGTGATGCTATACATGACGTCCTCCGCCCCGGAACGTTTCCGCCATCGGTTTCGGGGTGTGACACAAATATCGTTCTTGACCATAAAGTTTCCAACTTTATGGTCTTGCATGGCCAATAAGTGTTAAATGCTAGAAACTCCAACCTCTTAACCTATTAAGAGCATTAAGCACATGCATGGGGAAGAGTTAAGAGCCAAGACCCTATTTTTATGCTTCTAAATTTCTCAAAACGTTTGAAAGGACAGATTAAATGGGTTGGAGCATGCCATACTCAAAAAGGTCAAGACTTGGGACCAAAATGCTCATGAATCAAGAACTTAACAAGTTCTAAGGAATTACAAGACAATTTTAAAGCTTTATACCTCTTGAAGGTTGATAGATAGGTGAAGATCCTAGATCCAAAGCTCCTTCAAGTTTCCAAGGTGGTTCTACTTCCTTCTATCTCCTTCAAGACCACCAAAAACACACCCCAAGGCTCAAGAATGCTCAAACAAGTGGCTAGGGTTTGCTAAGATCGTTTGGAGGTGTTGGAGGCTGATAAGGGAGTGAGCACTTGAAAGTTAATGATGTTTATATAGGGTCCAAACCCTAAAAATTAGGGTTTGTGGATCACACACGTACATCCCGCGTACGTGAGTCCGCCATAAAATTACGAAAATGCAAATATGTGCCATTTTGCAAGCTTTCACACGCACAAGGGCTAAAATGCAATAACTCTTCATACTTAGGGTTAAAATTGAAAATACCTCATCATCGGAATGTTACATATTAAGTATTATTTTTCTCTAAAAACGACATTCTAGATGAATTTATTAAGACAATTGCCCAAATATATAGTTAATTATGACAATATGAGTTGGGTTGGAAATTTTAAAACTTAAACAGGTTGGGTTGAGTAAATATTTTCAACCCATTTAGTTAAATTAGTCAACCCATTTGTAACCTAACCTAACCCATTGTCACTTGTGAATGTTTTTGTCGGAAGTCCTGTTAGTTGTGATCGTTGTCGCATCTGCTATTCCAGTTGTATCCTCTTTGCCAGTTGTTTCATTTTTCCGATTGTTGCCATGGTTCTGGTTGTTACCTCGATAAGTGCCTTACTGAAGACAAAGAGCGAGCCACATGTGTTTCCTCAAGAAACAACATCGATCAGTCTTAGAAGAAGGATTATAGAGGTAGTTTGGTGATGTATGATGCTAGCCATATTGTCAAAATTATAACCGAGTCCATTGATCATATATGTGACGAGGTTTTTCTCCGATACAGGTTCGTCGATGTTAACAATCAAGTCAAAAAAATTGGTGACCAGCATATCATCGATTTCAGTAGAATGGATTTCGTGATAAAGTTGCCTGGCGTGTGTATTTTTGTTGTCATGAGTGAGGTTCTTTAGACTCATCCAAACGATGTGAACCATCATGCCTTTTGAGGATCATCTAAAGAAGCGACTTGTTAATTGTCCCATATATCCATACCTTAACTATGGAGTTATGATTTTGCCGCTCAGGAATAGGGTTAGCGGGTTTCATCTATTTAAGGTGGTGATTTGCACCAGAACTTACCCAACACGCCTTGAAGAGATCACGCTAAATGTCATAGTTTAGCTTCTCGGTGGTGTCGAGTGTTAAGGGAGCATCAACTCGAATATTTTGTGATTTTGAAGGGTTGTGCATCGCATCTTTGTTCGTAGTTTCATTAACCATGGTTGTGGAAGAATTTTGGTTGGCTAGGGTTTACGCTGTGGCTAGGGCCGACCAAGAGGAAGATGAGAGAAGAAATAAGAGAATAATCAATAAATGATGTTATTGTTTTGATACCATATAAGATAATATAATTTTTATATCTAATTTGCATTGTATATGTGTATATTTATACATGTGAGTACCACACATGGGTCGTAGGCCGAGAATTATAAATAACTTGTGCCTATACAATTTTCTACTAATCACAAATAGTGGCATACAATACACAACTCATGTGAGTTACATGAGAATTTTTATGGATCATGCCTATAGAATTATATATAACTTGTGCCTCCAAATAGTCACAACTCATGTGAGAATTTTTATGTCTTTGTCATTGAATAGTGTAGTGTGTGTTTGAACATTTAGGTGTTTTGATAGTAATAGAAAGGCACCGAATGTATTCTAGTAAAAAAAAACATGCTAATAAAACATTATTAACAATTCTTGATCAATAGTGAAATATAACAGACAAATGGGGAACATTTGGTTTTGCCAAAACTAATTCAAGATTTATATTATATGGCATTTTTGGTTGCAAAATTGACGAAATGTAATTCTTTGAAATCCTTTATATTCCATCATACAATGCAACTCGCATTCTTCAAAGTTTGAAATAAATTAAATTCCATTCCTTTATGTATTGTTAGAATGTTCGATATATATTCGTTGTAAATAAATTGAATTTTGTTCTATTTTCTACCGACCAAGACACATAACAAATTACAATTTATTCATATTCCAACTTTTTTTGACATTAATTTATATACTTCAAAAAAAAAAAAAAAAAAAAAAAACTTTCTACACCAAATGCCCCGTTCAAATTTAAATTAGTAGCTAAAAAAAACAATGAGTCTCTTTGGCTGAAAAAAATAGTGTTTCACACTTTCACTTAACTAATATATCAAAATATGATTTAATCAATATATTGTAACAATTGTTAACTAATAGTAATTGTTAACTAACACAGAGATAATTCTGATTTCTCAATTGGAATCTTAATAAAAAAATATATAAAAATCATAAGATATTCCATAAAAAAGTGTTTTTTTTTTTTTTTTTTTTTACAGGAATTCAAAATTGTTACAAAAATAATCAAAAAAATTAATTTGTTTGTTTTGTTATTTCGGCGGGAAATATTTCTAACTGCCTAACACTATGCTCGTTCGAAGATAACTGCCTGGTGAACTACCATGCGAATCAACCAATCCAAGCCCCCCACGTGGCAGATATTCATTGGATGTACGAAGCCATATAAACAAGATCTCCGCTCCATTTCCACCGGTAGTCAATCTCACTTCAATCGACGTCGCAGCAAGAAATTTAGAGAGAGAACGAGAGAGTCTGGGAAGGATGTCTGGAATAGCCGCCATGGATGAGCAGAGTGATGCAGTACTAGCAGCCAAGATGTCAAGGAATCATAGAATTCGTGTTTCTAACACCAAGAAGCCTTTCATCTTCTACCTTAATCTCGCTAAGGTTAGGGTTTCTCCTTCTTAATTACCTTTTGTTTGAACTTCTGTGTAATGCATTTGAATCTGAAAGCGTTTTAGAAATTGTTGCTTGTTTCTGATCCTTTCACGCGCTTATTTTGTTCTTTTTATCTGGATTCTCATTGTTTCGTATCGTCACTTTGCACGATCCATTCACAAATGTAAATAACTCTCGAAGTTATTTGACAATTCAATTTACAGTCTCTGTTTTCGCGAGGTTTCAAACTTTCAATCTCAATCACGTAACTTCAATGGTAACGTGTGATTTCAGTTGTAAGTAGAGTTTTAAAGTCAAAATTCCACTCAACTGATTAACGTGTGGTTTAAACTAGGGTTTAATTCCATAATCTTGTGGAGAAATTGTTGCTTGTTAACCATGGTTGATCGCTTCAGTTCTTGAATGGGATCTTCCATTACATTCTTTTGTGTTTAGATTTTCATCTGCTTAATGATATCATTTCTTGAATTGATGCAATATCTTAATGTTGACAGAAATACATCCATCGTTACCACAAGGTTGAGCTTACTGCATTGGGAATGGGTTAGACTTCAACACTACATTTTCTTCATTCTTTTTTGCTTCATGAACAGAATACACACTCAAAACTTTCTTTACTTGACTTCCTTTCATCAAATTTATGCAGCTATTCCAACTGTTGTTGTAATCTCTGAGATTCTGAAGGGAAATGGAATCGCAACTCAGAAAAGTAAGAATCCAAATTCCAAATTCATTTGTTTACATCAAACAAATTCAATCTGAATCTATATTTGGTGCACTAAAACAGTGATCTCCATATCAACCATCAAAACCAAAGATGAATTCACTGGCAAATCGATGCAGAAGGCTAAGGTTTCTTCATTTTCTTTAATTTTTTTTTCATTTTCTTACAATTACTACTTTAGAAACAATCATCTCCATATCATCTTACCTCATGACTCTTGATTTCAGATTGAAATTGTGTTGGGAAAGAATGATGAATCTGATAAACCAAAACCTAAAGGAATCACATTGAAGAAGAGGAATCCTAAACCTAAGGTTACTTTCTAATACCAAATTATATTATATCATTCTACCTTTAATTATTCCAACAGTTTTAAATCTTTCTCTCATAGATCACATTCAACAAAGAGAAGATGAATGAAACAGTAACCTCCCCTGAGATTACTTCCTCTGAATTTCAAGTTCATTATTATATAATTATATTACATCATTTTACTTTCAACTATTTTTTTTTTTTGAAATAGCATTCTTAATCTCTTTATTATCACAGGATGAAAGTGTTAGTGGAAAAGATGATGAGAAGAATGTAGAAAGTGTTATTGGTTTTGTCTCACTCTCTTTATCTGATTCATCTGAAACTGTTGAAAGTGAGACAGATGTCAAGAATCAAGAAAATGATCCCATGGTTTGTTTTTACTTATAGCATTCTACTACTTTCCAATTATACCCTTTTTCAATAATTTTTTGTTTAATAAAGAAATTAATGAAAGTATTTTGCTATTTCTTGCAGATTGAATCTGAAGTAGTTGAAGAGAAGGTTCATTTGCAGGAGTGAAAGTGTCTTTGGTAGTAGTGTTGTTGTATGTTGGTGTTACTGTTACATACTAAAGAGATCTGATTTTACTAGTTTGGTCCATACATTTCTGGCATGTTTACAGATTTGGTCCCTCTATTGAAAACATTGTGAAATTGGGAAAAAAACCCAACTAAACATCAATAACAAGACCTCTTTTGCTTTCTTTCAAGAGTTTATTGTTATCATATATTGTTTTTTTTTTATATTTTTAGAGTAAATGAAAGCTAGTTATATTAAATCAAAGCTATATTTTAGAAAATTGAACCTGTATCCTTTCCCATTAGAATTTCTTTTTTATTAAAGTGTACAATTTGGGTTAAATTTAACTTTTTCCTGTTTTTGGATACAAATTATCAAACATGCATGTTGCAAGTTCAAAGTTTGAAGTCAACATAATATTTTTTTAATAATAAAAAATGTTTATTTTGGTAAATATCATGTTTATCATCTTGATAAGCCTAAGATCTGTTTTTACATGCAAAATTTATTTCCTCTAAATAAAACAATAAATTTAACAAATGAATAATTATTGTACTTGATATATCAACATTTACGTAGATATGAGATATGGATATGTCCTCACATGAGTAACCTTGATTATAACTATTTTTTTCCTGTACGATTTTTTTTTTCCCTCTGTTAATTTCTGTTGTTTATTGAATCTTTGAGGGGAAAGGTTGTGTAGGCTCAAATTTTGGATTTATAAAAAAATAAGAACCACAAGTTACAATACAAGTTTATTTTACAGAAAATATTAGAAGGTAGCTTGTAACAAGTATATCAATCACGAAAAGAGTTAAATCAAGATAAAAAAATGTTTTGAGTGTATATATAGAAAAATTAAACCTCATTGTTTAGAGTGATAAACAAATCGGGTTGTGTCACTTTCAGGACTCTCGAGAGAGATTATTTTATTGTTAGAATATGAAGTGCAGTTCCTTGGATGAGATTATTTAATTGTTTTTGCTTCCAAGCAATGATACAAAGAAGATGTTGAGCAGGCAATCAGAAAAAAAATAAAAAAAAAAGGTTTGGTCGATGTAATTTATGTTTATGGACAGCAAACCGAAAAACTCTTCATTTATTTTCATACTTTCTGGATTGTTTACAAACAAGTGTACATTTGCATCCTAGCTACGAATACATATAACCGAAAACCCTAACAAATATAGGGTCCATATACAAGTAAATATGAAACCACCAAACATGTTCATACCATTTTAGTTGTTTATGATGAAATCACGATAATCATTGTTTTGGCCTTGGTAAAGAAATTATTCGTTTAATATTTAGGTTATATGTTGTATGACGCATGACTCGATATTACTACGTATAAGAAAATACCAGACGAGAAGAAATGAGACTATAAATAAATGAGACTATAAATCTCTTAGGACTATTTTCAGTCGTTACGAAGATGAGATAATTAACGTCTTTTCACACATGTGATATTGATAGTGAGTCTCTACCTCGTCTTGTTTTATATTTTTGGTAAAAAAAAAACATTTATATGATTGACACTAGTCAAAGTGAAAATCATGTCAAAACAATACATATGTCATGTCTTATATAACATAAATGGCCGTAAGGATCAAATAACCAATTAATTCCAACGGCAACTACAACAAATTGATTATCAATGTGTATATCAAAATTACCTATTTGTTTTATAATATCATTCGGATTTACCTGTTGCATGTTGCGGCTGCAGTAATTGAATTCAAGAAGAGAAACTATTTGGTAGCAGGAGAAACTTAGGAGGAGTGGAGGACTTAAGTTGTCAAACCACAAAAGTCATGGATGAAAGTCATGCATAGAAACTTAGGAGGACTAAAGTTGCCAAAGCACAACAATCAGGGACCAAAGGCATACCAAGAATAATGCTTAAAAAAAAACACGAAAAAAAAAAAAAAACGTCGAAACGTAGACAAACACGAATTTAGACCAACACGTACATAAAAAAAAAGCAAGTAAACATTCTTTTAAGTTAACGAACGAAAGTTATAAACTTACATCAAGACATTGACCATCTCGAATTTATGCTGACACATACATAAAATAAACACGTAATAAATTAGTTTTTTTTTAAAAAAAAATAACGAATTTTATAAATTTCAAAGTCAAGGGGGTCAAATTGATATTTTACAAGGTTGAGGGTGGTAACTGTATGAGAATCAGAATATGTATACTACGGGGGTAAACACGAAAGTTTAGAAAATAGATGGTGTGAAAACGACATTTTATAAAGTTCAAAGTTGAGAACGTAAAAGCGACATTTTAGAAACTAAAGGGTGGAAAATGGAGGAGTTAACAAAAGTGAGGACCAAAGTTAATAAATAGCAAAGTCGAAGAGATAAAAGCTAACATTTTAAAAAGTAGATGAATGAAAGGAGTTAACAAAAATGAGGACCAAGTTACTAAATAACAAAGTCCACTGACTTTTACTAGTATTTTACCCGTTGTGCCTTGCAACAACACTAACATATTTGAGATGTAGTAGAAAATAACTAGCTAATGTTGAATAGAGATTTAAGAGGACTTAAGTTGACAAACCACAAAACTCAGGGACAAAAGTCATATCAATCAAGAATGTTAAATAGAAACTTAAGAAAACTTAAATTGACAAATCATAAAAGTCAAAGGTCAAAACCATGCCAATAAAAAATAATTAGATGTCTGACACGTATATAAAAATAAGTAAGTAACATTAATTTCTTAAGTTAACGAAACAGAAGTTCAAATAATCGAAAACGTATTATATGTGATCAAACTCATACATAGGAAGTGTATATAAAAATAACCACGTAAAACATAAAAACAAATGATATCGAAACGTAGACAAACTCGGATCTATCCCAACACGTATATAAAAGAGCAAGTAACCTTTTTTAATTAACGAATGAAAGTTCTAAATTTAACTCGAAATGTTGACCACCTCGATTTATGCTGACACATACATAAAAATAAGCACATAAGATGCTAGCATTTTTTAAGTTAAAGAACGAAATTTATTAAGAAAAATCAGATTATATATATATATATATATATATATTATGGGGGTTAAAACACGAAAGTTTAGAAAGTCGAGGGGGTCAAAGTGATATGTTTGAAAGGTTAAAACTGTGGGGGTCAAAATGATATTTTACAAAGTTGAGGGGTGGTATCGTTGGTGAATGAGAGTAAACACGAAAGTTTAGAAAGTCAACGGGGTCAAGACAACATTTTATAAATTTCAAAGCTGAGGGGGTCAAATTTATATTTTACAAAGTTGAGGGATGATAATGTAACACTCGTTTTCGGATTTGCTTCGTTGTTTAGGGTTGCGGTCCAGTCATCAGTTGTCATGAGATTTAGGGCTTCGGGGAAAGGAAGTTTTTGGCCCATTTCAGATGTGGGTGTCACGGTATAAGTGATTCAGGTATTCGATTGTATCTTCAGAAGCCAATTGTATAATCGTAATTTAATATCTCGATCTTTTATGAATTTAGGGTTTTGTTCGGGAGGTTTTAAGGCTTAGGTGTGTTGTTAGGAGTGTAGGGCTTCTCGCCACATTGTCGTGCATATAAGGTTCGTTGGAAACGGGCCTAGGATGAGGTAGTTATGGTATTTTGAAGTTATTGGCAATTCTGGTCCCTAATGGAAATAATTGGCAAGGCAGTCCCATGCATGCAAGGATGCACGCGTGTGAGTACGCCCAACGTAGTGCTAGATAAGTGAAACATGGGTTGGGAGACGTACGCCCAACGTACGTTCAGGATCCCCCAAAACCCTAATTTTAAGGGTTGCCTCACTATTTAAGCACCTTAAGTCCAGGGGGTGCGCTTCTCTTTCATCCTCCAGTGTCTTAAACCCTAAATCTTGAGTCATAGCTTCATCCAAGAGGGTTGTGTGCATTGTCGGTGCATTTTTGGTGGACTTTAGTGTATTTCAAGAAGTGGTGGCTTGGTGCAAGGTGGTGGTTCAAGGAAAGGCTAGTGGATCTGAAACTTTTGCTACATTTTCAGCTATTACAGGTAAAAACTCTTAACTTGATCATTAAAGTTGAGATCTATGGTTTATGGTTTGTTTCCATTTTGACCTCATGAGCAAGATCTAGTGGTTGGACACCACTTCAGAAGCTTTGAGTTGCCACTCTTGGCAGATTTAAGGTTATAAGTGTTGGATATAGTGTCTAAGTCCATAACTTTATTTGGTATGTACTTGACCCGACCCGGCATGGTCCATTTGGGTTGCATGACATTGCAATACTTGGATAGACTAAATGAGAGAATAAGGCACTTATGATTATTAATATATTATAAGTTCTAATATATTAATAATAGTATTATTTAATTAGTATTGATCAAGTATTAATCTAGTATTAATTTGGTGATCAAAGTGAGACTAATTAAATAGATAAGGGTTGATTATGACAATCATCAATTCTTTTATGGTGGATTAAATGATCCATGGTTTATGGGTTATGGATGTAACCATTTGGAGCTCCATGGATAGTCCATGGGAGTTACAAACCCATGGGTCATGAGAAATGAAGAGTCATGGCAATTATGGGCTTCATGATGAAACCCTAATTGTGACACCACTATAAAAGGGACCCTATGGCTAGCAAATGGTGATCTAGTGGACCTAGTGTACTAGAGAGGCAATAACCGATTTTGAGTGCTAGAAGTATTCTCTCAAGTTATTCCAGTCTTGTGGTGTTGTGTGAAGCATTTGAGGCACAACATTTTGGGGTGCTAGGCTCACAAAGTCTTGAAGGAATCCAAGCAACAACAAGGTATGTATTTCTACTAGTTTTTATGTTTTATGTAATCCCCATGCCATGCTAGTTAGGAAAAACCTTGAAAAAGAATTTGCATGCATGTATATAGAGAAAACATAGATTCAAGGTTATTAGGGTTGCATGTTCACTTAGGAAGTGTTAGAGAATGCTCAAAAAAACCCATCAGTGGTATCAGAGCCTAGGATTGGTTTTATGTATACTTGATGCAAAACTGCTTAAAAATCGAAAATTCTGCACTCTTACGACTGGACTCGCCGAGTCCATGGGGAGGACTCGCCGAGTCCATGAACAAATTCATCCTACTCGACGAGTAGAATAATGCACTCGGCGAGTA